TCGGTTCGCATGCTAAAATTGACTTTCAAAGAAAAGCATGAGTTACATCATTTTTTTTACCAAACTATGAGCTAAGTTTCCTTCCTCGAAGAATCATCATAGTTCAGCAGTCTACTTCTTATCTATGAACTGGACATCACAACTATAATGCTTCATAATAACTTCAAGACTTTCACGGACTTCGACATTTGTAGGACCATTCTCTTCAGGATAGATCTCCATCTTCTTTAAACACGGGAAATAGTCCAAGATATGCTTTATCATTTGAATCTCTTTGATTCTTCCTCGAAACTGTTTAACTTGTAACCTCTTCACTAGACAAGATATGAGCGAACGATCTTTAACCTCTTGAAAAATGCAGTCACAAGCATCCCCGCATTTATCTGGCACATGGTATAAGAGACCCTGAAAGCAGAGAAGGAGACAATAAGGGAATTCCGAGAACGATCTATATCTTTGTTAATGTTTCTGACAGATGAGTTGTGTTTATACCTCGAGGACAAGAGTTTCTAAATGTGGACAGTTCCTTAAGAGAGCCGGCATTGCTTGCCATCCTTGATACTCGGAACTCTTGATATGTAATACTTTGAGGTTGTTGAACACCGGCATTGATTCACAGCACAGAGAAAGCACCTGAAACAAGAGAGAAAAAAATCAAGTATAAATTCATTTGCAACAATCTTTGTTTCAAAATATCAAGAGAAATTTTTAAATAGAAACTGACCTCGAGAGTGATAGAAGCTAAGGTAAGTAACCGAACACTTCTTATGCCGCTAATGAGCTTCCATACATTACCAAACCGGAGGAAAACATCATCCTCATCATCCTCTAACAAGTCAATGTTTGGCGCTCGTATACGCTCGATTTGATCTTCACATAACATAAGGTTGAGCTTAGCATCAACTAAGTTTGTCAAGTTAACTTTTGGATAGTCCTCCGCAATGTAATCACGAAATCCAAAGTCAACCACTCTTGGAGTATCAAAAGAGACGCTCTTTGGATTTACAAAATCTTCAGAACAACCACTAGATATAATACACAGCTCCTTGAGGCTTGTACTTGACACAGTGACATTGGAACTCACCCACTTTATACAACTCAGGAACAATGTCTCTAACGCAGGGCAAGCAGGGAGAAGCAGCTCAAACTGATCAACACAAACCCCAACTGAGCTAAGGAAGAGAACTTTAAGCATCCGTAAGGAAATACCTAGAATCTGACAATCAAGATCAGGTATACATTGTACATTCAGCTTAACTAGTGTCCTAGAGACAAAAATCTCTTGAGGGAGCTGATATTTATCTCCAAAATCAACGCATAATCCAAGTTCTGAAACACACCGCGCTGCAGCGCATTAAGTATCCATCGATTCACACGATCAGAATCAACACCAGTTTTAACGAATAGGGTTAATTTCTTAATGGGAGAATCAGCCTGCAATGCTATAACCCTATCAGCAAAATCCCTGAAGAATTTATTCCCTTTCTCGTTTACCTTCTTGGGGATGGAGAAAGACAGAGTCACAGAGATCAAGATTAGGGACAAGTGTGAACAGACTGCGCCACCGCTTTGAGAGAACTGATGTCGAAGCAGCGTCCTTTGTCGTACAAGACATGACAGAGAAGCTCGTCCGGAAGACTGCTAACGCGAGATATCTTCTCTGCGAAGATAAATCTTCTGAAGAAATTCGAAATCAAGACCAACATTTTCACTTCTCAATCTCAGAATCAAAATCTCACTCAAATGCGTCGAGTGAAGAAGAATGAAGAGCAATTGCGTGAATTTTGGATTTTTTTTTCCCCGCTTGAATCGGTTTGGTTTGGACCGAAAATGCAGCGATTTACAATGCTCGGGAAATTAATTATCTTGCTTTCAGAAAATTGTAACTGGACTCCTATTGGCTATTAGGCCCATTATTTTTAAGTTTAGCGGTTTTAGGCTGATTTTTACCGTGATGATTATTGTAGTATTTTACTAGGAGCTTGATTAGGGAAATTACCGTACGGTGTTGCGGCTTAAATTTAAAATTGAATGTTGAAACTTTTATAGGTCCAATTTTTATTAAAAATCCCCTTTTATTTTTTTAATTGTAGAGTTTATGCAATTTATTAATTTTTTGGAAGCTAGATGCCTAGATGTTAAGCCACCATCCATTTAACGGCGTTAAATATTTACACATCGCTGTCAAATTAATGCTTCTTCACTTTCCAGAACAAACTTCTTCTTTAACCACGTCTTCAACTTTTTTAAGACGGTTCCTACTTCCTTGATAGTACAATATATTTTTAATTTATTCCAAAAAATACAATAATTTAAAGAGCGTGATTCACCTACACGAACGGTTCTTATTTCCCCACGTGTCGAAGAACCTATGGCGCAACTGTATTATAGTCCAGCCGCGTGACACCTGAACGCCACAGACATTTTATAAGTAAATGATGACGGAGCCGTTAAACAGACGTGGGCTGTAAGAAGCCGTTAACCTTAACGGCGTCAAATCTCGGTCCTATGAAACTTATTTTATGTCCCCTCTTCCCCAAAGCGTCGCTCTAAAGTTATTAAAAAGCAACCAACGGCTCAGATCAAAACCAGAAATTTCAACGGCTACGATCGAATTTTAATCTCGTTCTTCTATTTTTTAAGCTTTCTTCGAGATCCTTCTCTCAAGAAGTAAAAGAAAGCGTTTTGTTCGTTTTGGTTGAAATAAGAAGCTTCGAATCTCGACGAAATCGATCGGAAACAATGGCGGATGAACATAAACACGACGAATCTCTTCCTAATCTGGACCCGAAGGTGGAAGTTGTAGAGAGGGAATCGTTGATGGAGAAGTTATCGGAGAAGATTCACCACAAAGGTGAT